TGCTTAACATTCTAATTCACCTCATCAGATGTATTTTTGGTCCAGCATGTATACTTGTTGTTGAGGCACGGTTGAGAAGGCATCCTTTTTGTGATACATGTGTAGTCATGTCACAATACGATAAGAAGTAAGAGCATCGTCCTGATGAAGGCAGCAAAGCAGCAAAATTATTGATGTGATTACTGTGGATCCAGGCTATCTGTCATGTGTGATTACTGTGATTTCAGGCTGAAGTATGACCTGTGGATCCAGGCTATCTGTGAGGAGCAGGGCACACCAGCCCTACAGCTGGAGTCTCTGGTGTCCTGTCTCCAGTCATGTCTGACTGACCAGGCTTCTGTCACCTGCAGGATGGCCTGTGTGGCGCTCAAGGTAGGGATGGCAGACTTCACCCCCTCACCTATACTGAAATAGCAGCACCGAGGATATCATATACATGTATAACAATGTTATATTGTGTACTAGGAACTGCAGAGAAACACAAGCTACAAGTAAAAAGATGAAGTTGCATTTTTTTAGGAACTCGATAAGCTCTGTTGTGAACTCTTATCAAGTACATTTGACTATTTTTTGTGTGTTCTGCAGACATGTCTGGTGACATTGCTACAAAGTTCCTCTGGAGACCTGGGACTGAGACTTGTCCTGGCTACCCTGGGACAGAGAGACACATCTTACTGGTTGGGTAAAGTGGAGCTGTTGGAGTTGCTGTCACTAGTAGACTTCAAGTGAGTGCTAGAGTCATAAAATCTGTCGAATTCATGGAATGTTGAATTGGTTTTTATCTAAACATGTCCTAGAATTATAACACTTCACCACTGTAGTGCAGTAGTGCAGTACACATATAGTAAATCACCGTTCCACATGCAACCTGTTGCTGTTATGGAATGCTAACAAGTTTCTACATGGTTTTTAAAAATTTTCCTTTCAGATTAGTCAAGTATCTAGAGGACAGTTTCCCATTCATGAGGAAAGGAGAACACAGTTATCTTGGGGTGAGTCATTTGTGTGATACATTGTAACTAACATTATGTTGGAGATAAAGAGTCATACATGACGGAGGGCATACTTGCTGCTTGCAAAGACCACATAATTGCCTCATTTACTAATTTGTTTAGGGATGCGGTGTCTGTTTGTTGCTTTACAGGTAAAGAGCTTATTGGTACTGTAGTACCATTCTATGGTTATTCTCAAGGCTGGAAATGCTGGGTACTTTTATTGCATTTAAAACTGAAACTATGTACCTTACATATAAAACATAAAATTTAGAAGAACTACAATTCACATGATGACCATGTTCCTGTCACAGGCCATGAACTGTCAGCAGAGACTGTTAGAGGACATAGTGTTACACCTGATGGGAGATGATGACTACAGGGTCAGACATGCTGCCACGTCAGCTCTCGTCAGGTAGAGAGACTTTCTGTTGTTTTATTTGTATACTATTAGCATTACTAGTAAGCAGCCTTCTCACACATTCAGGACCTTCCCATGTCTTTGCTTTGCTCCTGACCATTCCCCACCAAGGTTTGTGCTGGGTTGGGAGAAGTCCAGAATCCATCCTATTGTACTTCCAGTTTGCTTAGATCACAACTCTGGGGCTTGCTAGGGAATCTAACCCATGACCCTGTGACAACTACCCTAAACACAAGGCCACAGAATTTCAACTGCTATCATCAAGTTTTTTAATATTACAGTATTGTTTTATTTTACTTGTGATATCTCTATCCTTCAGGCTTGTACCTAGGCTGTTTTATCCAGTGGACCACCCCCAGCACGATCCGGTTGTTGCTTCAGCCAAAGTGTACAGTTCTGCCCACCTGGACCAGGAGGGCCAGCAGCTGGGAGAAGAGCCGTACCGCCCTCCCCCCTGCACCATGTGGGGGTATGAGACGTCTGGACTGGTCAGCGCCAGCCTGGAGTCCAGTCTGTCCAGGGTCATCTCAGCCATCATGAGGAGACTCAACAGCTCCACTTCCAAAAGTCTGACAGTGAGTTTGTTTGTTTGTTTGTTTGCATAAAGTTTTGTTTATTTACAACCTGCTGGTTACCTTTCATTGAGGTCAGGAGTGTGTGAATGCACAAGTTGCTGAAATAATGTTGCTAGGTTTATAGAACTTTAACCACATTAGCCATTTGTCTACCAAATCTTTATTGGTTATTTGGTTAGGCAGTAGAAAGAAAGTTAAGCTGCACTAGCTTTATGTTACAAGAAGAAAACATATATCTGTGTGTTAATGTCCCCAGTTTGGGTGCCTCCATGCGCTGTGCCAGTTGTCTGTGGAGTTCCCTGTGTGCCAGTACACCACCGCCTGGTGCTGTGTGGGCATCACCACCTTCACACCCAAGGACTCCAGTGGACGGGCCAACCTGCCCAGACCGGGCAGCCGCTCCCGCAGCCTGAACGGCAGTCTGACTAGCAGCATGACTAGCAGCTTGACTAGTAGTATTACTAGCACATCCAGGTGAGCTTCTTCTTACATTGTCACTGATTCTCAAAATAGCAGTATGACTAGCAGCTTGGAGAGCTGCTTGACTAGCAGCATGACTAGCAGAATGACTAGCAATATGACTAGCATCTTGACTAGCAGTATTACTAGCATGTCAAAGTAAAATTTACATACCATTGGTGATTGAGGGGTGTTCAGTCATTACCAAGAGATGACAATTACATTGTATTTTTTTTTAAATGTTTCTAACCACTGAGTTGTTATTTTGACCGTAGTATCAGCAGTGTTTCCAGCCAGCTCAGCATGGAAGAGTCCATCACAGGATCAGGAGGGGGGCCCCTGCCCATGGTGCTGTCCCTCCTGCTGTCATCATGGTTACCGCTGGACCTGGCCGCCCATCAGGACGCCCTCCTGCTGGCGGGGAACCTTTTAGCAGGTGCAGGAATGTCATTGGTTTATATGGAAACAATGGTTATGATGATTACAGTGTCCTGATGAAAAATGGTTATAATGATTGTTTCAACAATATCCTGGTCTCGAAAAAAAATGAGATTGTAACTTCTATGTAATATGCTTTGAAATATTCTTTCTTCATGCCCTAAAATAGTGGATGAATAACCCATTGCACCTACAGCCTCAAAGGCCTCTACCTTTACCATCTCCAACCTGCTAAGCATGTGCATGTACCACCCCCCCTCCCCTTTCTAGGTGCAGCATCCAGATCCCTAAAAGCTCCATATGAAGAGGAAAAACCCTCTGGGAAGGATGGAGCAAAGGAAGGAGGGAAGGAGGAGGAGGAGGGATGGCACGCCCTTCAGGACAGGAACCTGGTGCCGCTGGCCCAGCAGCTGCTGTCTCACCTGGCCAGGGTCGTCAACGTCTGCTCACACGTCATCGAGCAGGTCACACCTGGTCCACCTGCAAAGGTACAGAATCTGTCAGCATCTAGTTTTCTACTTATCCAACATCTTTATAGTGTTGCATATGAAGCAAAGAATGGTCATTCTCCCCTGTCAGGCCTGCCGCTTGTATTACACAATATACAATAGGGAGCAATGGCCCTGACCAAGCAGTCTACTATTTTCCCTTTTGGTTGGTTTTAGGTCAAGTCTCTGCTTATTGTCAAGAGGCACCTTGCCACGGCCACACAAATGGCATAAGAAGATTAGTCAAAGGCTACATAGCTATAATAGTATTTTAGAATACTTTCTGTTTTTACTTTCTTGATGAAGTTGATGTCTAACACATAGCTGTTACCCATATTTGTTAAGTACAATTGGGATTTTTTCTGTCCCCATCCAGACGGCCCTGCCCTCCCTGCCTAATGCCCCCTCCCTGAGCCCCATTAAGAGGAAGCCCAAAGGTAAAGATGGAGTGGACCAGGGCAGTGCCACTGCCAGCCCCAGCAAGAGTTCTGCCAAGAAGGGATCAGATGCAGGTCAGGACACAGACTTTTACTTTTCACATTCTACATGGAAAGTATGAATCAGCTGTTATGTTTTAATGATTTTTTATGATAATATGAGTATGACTATTGATTAGGCTAACATTTAAATTCGATGTGATTCATAGATTTGTCACTTAATTTTTTTTCTGATTTAAATATACTTTTAGGATTGGAATTGAAACTTAGATACTCAGATTTTGGCAACAACAGTTGAAGAAAGTCCTTGCTTGTCATCCTAATTGTTACAGTTTTTCCATTTATTAAAGGATGCACTAAAAGCTGCACTTGTTCAGTCATTGACATACATGTAGTTTTGGTTAGACTGGTTTGCAGGTACTACCCAGGCACTCTTGTACCCACGTATGCTTTCTTGAAATGTCTTGCAGTAACAGCCTTAAATGCTTAACCAGTATTCTGTAACTGTTCTATCATCCCAGGTTTGCCGACAGAAAAGGAGCCTGATCGCCCCAACAAGAGTAACATTGGCACGTTCTGGCAGCTGCCGGGGTACATGAAACTGTACTCTGTGCTAAAGGGGGCCTACTCAAACTACAAGGTAATATCACAATCAGTCAGGGTAACAACATGGGCTGTGTACCTTCACCTGTACCTATACCTGTGAGATTATTTAGGCACAGGTCCAGACCTGAGGACAGATGTAACTTTACTTGTACTGGTTTTACTGAATATTTCACTAAAGAGCACTTGAAAACAGGAAAACTTGTTAAGTGCATAGGGTTAGGAGTGAAGTCTTGTTTTTTACTTGTTAACTACATGCCTGTCCAACTGTGCATCTGTCTGTGTGTCTGCATGTCCTACCAGAGGGTGCTTACTAGGGCTTGCCATCTCTGACTAGGGCTTGCCAAGTCTGCCATCTCTGATTTCCTTGTGTTGGGACTTATTCTAGGTATCCCTGGACCCCAGTGCAACAGAGAAGTTCACTGGTCTGTTGAAGACTGTACTGAATGTCCTGTCACAGGTGCTGGAGATAGCAACATTTATAGACATCAGCAAGGTAAGATTGGTTGGTTTGTACCCCAAAATCATATGACACTATCTTACCATGTAACTGCAATATCTCTACCATAACATTACACTGTATTCTCTGCCATGTAACTACAGTTTCTCTATTTGTATAACACCTCTGCACCACTAGAATCACTAAGATGTGGAATTCTTCCTGGAAGTACAACCACAATGTAACTATTGCATCAATTTTAACTTCAAACATTACCAAGAATGTGAAATCAAGATATAGAAAAGTAGTTTTTTAAACACTGTTTCTTGTACATTCCAGTATGTTGAGGAGCTGCTTAGTTACTTGAAGTCTACTGTTGCCATGGAGCCAACGTCAACCATCCAGTGTGTGGAACAGGTAGGAACGGGTGGTATTTGTCTGCACAATAACGTTACTTTGTTAACTTCTGACAACTTGTTATCAATATTGCCCTCCAAAAAATGCATTAACTTGGCTTGCCAAGTGACAGTGGAATATGCACAGAAAGAACAAGAACTTCACAATAATGAATAAAATAACAATTCTAAATACTTCACTCTTCACACAGCTCCTGAAGGCTCTATTTGGCACCAACTTGGCCAGCCAATGGGACGGCTCGCAGACAGCAGAGACGTCGCGTAAACCCGGGAAGGCAACTCGTCTGTCGTCCAACATGAAGCCTGGCCTGTACCACTACTGCTTCACTGCGCCGTACACACAGTTCACCCAGTCCCTGGCAGCCGCCAGCTTCAGAACATCACAGGCAGAGGGGGAGGAAGGGGGAGGGTGAGAACTTGTCTTTTACCATAGGAAATATTCATTGTAGGGTTACAGTATGTCTCAAATATTGTCATCATACAGCCAGGTTGTGTAGGCCAATCACAAGCCTCCATTGCTCGTGCTGCATATAGAGTATATTATATATTTAAAATGTTGATTAATGATTTTCCCTCCCCAATAGGATATTGAGCTGGTTCAAACACAGATCATCGGACAAGAAAGTATCACCTGCCATTGCCAAATTGGTCAAGGGAGACAAGGTATTTTTTAACAACCAACCAGCAATTTGTTTTAACAATGCACTTTATGCCCCAAATAAAAGAATTTGAGAAAGATATGCACATGATACGCCAAGTTGAATAAAATAAGTTGTTCAAGTTCATATAGCTTTTTGAAGCCTAAAAACTTTTCCAGACTCCCATCCACAACTACATCCGGCTGTTTGAGCCCCTGGTCATCAAGTCCCTGAAGCTGTACACAGTCACCAGTTCTGTCACCCTGCAGAGGCAGGTGCTGCACCTGCTGGCACAGCTAGTACAGCTGCGTGTTAACTATTGTCTGCTCGACTCCGACCAGGTGTAGTAAACATTTTTACATGAATGAATTCAATTGCTTGACAATCATACATTGTACAGTGTATGGCAACAACTATTAACAATACTAGTATATGAGCTTCATATTCATCATTTATGAATGATTTGACCTTGCTTTTTGGAATGAAATTGACTTATCTTGTAGGCTGGTCAGTGTTTGAATAAGCTTACTTCTTTTTTTCCAGATTTTCATAGGGTTTGTCATCAAGCAGTTTGAGTATATCGAGGCTGGTCAAATCAGGTATGTTATCATGTTTCACTACAGATATTATTCTCTGCAGGTTCTCACCTCAGAAATTGAGATGGATAAGAAAACTTGTAACTGTGAAAGTCAAATTAATGCTGAAAATCCTGATGAAAGTATTTTACCTGAAGATTGTATTCTCTACTCTGTTCACACCACAGAGGCTCAGAGACGCTGATCCCGCCCATCTTCCACTTCCTGGTCCTCCTGTCGTACGAGCGGTACCACTCCAAGTCCATCATCGTCATGCCACGCATCATCCAGCTGTGTGACGGGGTCATGGCCAGCGGACAGAAGGCCACCAATCATGGTCAGCAAGGCTCAAGTTGTTACTCGCTGTTGAGATAAATTTGCCTGTTTTTTTTGCTGTACTAAGAACAGTCAGCTCTGAGGACAGTAACCAATCAGAACCAAGGACAGTTACATGTTTCTTACCAGCCAATAACCAATCAGCACCAAGGACAGTTACATTTTTCTCATCAGCCAGTAACCAATCAGCACCAAGGACAGTTACATGTTTCTCAGCAGCCAATAACCAATCAGCACCAAGGACAGATACACGTTTCTTAGGCAGCTACCAGCCAATCTGCACTAAGGACAGTGACATGCACTAAAAGGCTAATCAGGAGAAAACGTGTAAATATATGTCATCTTGGAATATTTTAACATGAGACTTATTCATCTTGTCAATGGTAATGATACCCTTTTTTCCAACACATTCCAGCTATCCCAGCCCTGCAACCCATTGTCCACGACCTGTTTGTGTTGAGAGGCAACAGTAAAGCTGACCAGGGGAAGGAGCTGGACACTCAGAGGGAAGTGGTGGTGTCCATGTTGGTCAGACTCATCCACTATCCAGAGGTCAGTGTGTGTGTGTGTTTGTCATTTTGGCTAGGGAAATATATTGTCAATATAAGCATATGTGACTAGTGAGAGGAGGAAAGGTGATATTGGTACCAGAGGTAACTATGCTGTACATTGGTTTGAGAGATTGTGCTTCCATACATATTATTTTGCATTACTAAGAGTGATTGTAAAACTTGTAGAACTAGATTATTTGTAACCTTTAGCACACTGAAGAAGTTGTTTGGTACCTTAGCATGCTGAAGGTTAAAATTGTGCCCCCCTCCCCCAGGTTCTTGAGATGCTGACCATTGTACTGCAGCAGTGCCACAAGGAGAGTGAGGACCGGTGGAAGAAACTGTCCAGACAAGTAGTGGACATGGTGCTGCCCATGCTGGCCAGACAACAGGTAACAATTTTATTTGTCAAAATTATAGTAATCTAAAAATTAGTTGGTCTACATGTTATTCAAATACTGAAAATGGGAAGACATATAATGTGGTAGCCTTGAGTGTAGTTGTAGTGATATTAGGTTACCACACAGTGTCATTTTTTGAACTTCTTGAAAACTTAAATAAAACACTTCAATTATTGTTTCAACATACATGGTCTCAATTTTAAAGATTGAAGCATCTTCTTTCTCTTTTGTGCTCTCACAGTAGATTTGGAGTGAACTGAGGATGTCATCTATGAAATTTACTTGGTATGGCCTGCACTTTTTTAAAGTTTAAAAACTTGAAGACTCCTATTTGACTCCTGTTTTCAGATCTGCCTGTCCACCCCGTCTGCGTTGAACACCCTGCACGGCCTGTTTGAGTCGGTCACACCCAGCTCCCTGCGACCGCTGGACATGCTGCTGAAGACTCTCTTCTCTCCACCTACAGATCTGGTAAGATAGTTCTCATTTTCAACCAATGAGTAGAAAACACGATATGTAGGTTGTTGATAGGCTGTAAGATTAAGGGTTTGGAAAATGGTCGTTCGTCCGTCAGGTTGACGAGGACCGCTTTGGATGACAAAGCGACTTGTGCAAAAGGAACTTGGATTATAGTGTGGAGGAGTTGCACACGTCGTCGACCACATTCTCTCGTCCGTAAACCATCTTGGTCCAGTAACAAGATTAAGGGTTTGGAAAATAAATGGTCAGTGAAAGGCACTGATTCATAGACCTCTTCTATCTGACTGATATTGTGGTCAGGAGTGAAACTACATGTTATATTAGTGTCTGAAACAATCTCATTCATGATTATATTTATTTTTTTCTCTGTATTTTAATTCTCCAGACGAGTCCAGACAGTTTTCTCCGCTGGTCCTGCATGGTCCTGTCCATCCTGCGAGTGCTGATCTCCCAGTCAAAGGAAGAAGTCATCATGGCCAGACTACAGGAGCTGGGACTGTCAGCTAACATCTTCACCAACAAGTAAAGGCTTCCTATCATTATATCCTGACTACATCATGCTTCTTCTTTAGTAGTTTACAGTATTATCAATATGAAAGTTTCTCACCTTGTGCAAGTAACGTACAGCAGAGGATGTTCATCATGGCCATCATATAGAAGAAAGGAAGGATAATGGATATGCTTTCTGTTTCATTTCAGTGTGATTTATCGAGCTAAAGGCAGAGCTGTGGACCTGGATGGTGATGCTCCTTTTGAAGAAGTCCCTGAAGAGGCTTTAGCAAGGTAACATGTTTACACACAGACTCTGTGCTGTAAATGTGCACTAGACAAAATCTGTAAAATGATTGGGATTTTCTTCATATAGTTAGTGATCTGGCCTGCTTGCATGTTAACTTAGAAACTGAGTACCTGTGTATTCCATTTGCGAGTTTTCTTGTCAATAGCAACTGTCTGCTGCTGATCATTCTCTGTCCTCTTTTCCTGCTGCAGGTTTTTGTTGCAGGTCATCGGTGCGCTGGCAGAGGAGATCGCCTTCCGATCTAACACATCAGCTCTCCAGAGGGAGGGTTGCCACAGCTTAGCACAGCAGCTGGCTCACCTGCTGTTGTATGTCACCTACATCCTGAAGTCAGGTGAGTCTTAGACAACTGTAATTGCTTCATTCCAAGCGAGTGAAGAACTGTTTTGTGCATATCTGTGTGTCTGATTGTCTTTTTCTGTGATCATTTTGACCACATCTGTCTTCAGCTTTAAGACACTTATGAAAATGGCTTGGCTACGGATTGAATGATTTATGGATTTATCTATCTATTTGTTTATTGCATTATTTATCAAGACCTATTAATCTGTGCTCCCCATATAAATTAGAATTCTACCTTGTTGAAAAACAGACATAGTGCAAGCTATGAAGATTAAACAAAGTTTTTGAATATTATTGAATAAAATTTTCCCCATGCGCAGGTTTGTTCAGGAAGGTTCTGTCTGCTGCCATGGCCCTGCCTGAGGAGTCTCCCACAGAGGCGTACTACAGTGTGGAGCAGCTCAACCTGTTCTTCCAGGACATGGTGCCCTCCCACCCCACCCTGGTCCTGCAGTGGTGCCAGATTCTCCTCCTACTCAACTTTAACGAGCTCAGCTGGTGGAGTGAGATCATGCAGGTAGGGCTATAGCAGGGGTTGTAAGGCCAGTCCATTTTAATTTCTTATTTCTCAGATTATCTACATTCAATTATGAAGTGAGGATGTCAGTATAAATACTGCCTTCCCTGAAGCACAACATTGGAACCTGGTAGTGATTACTGAATTCATGAACCAGTGACCTTAATCACAAGGCGTCCTTGATTCTGTTAATGTATTAAAGTTTCTGCCATGTGTTTTGTGTCTTTCAGACGCCCAAGAGGAGCCTGAAGGCTAGCAGCAGCAGCAGCAACAGTGGAGGTGGTGGTGGGAAGAAGGGGAAGGCAAGGACTCCAGACGAGGTCGCCAACAAAAGTGCAATATGCTGTAGTGAGGAGGTGGTGCGCAGGGGAGGGCTCATCCTCTTCTGTGACTATGTGGTGAGTCAGATAGTACTGAGGTACACATGCATAGCATGCACAGATAAAGTATGCTCAATGTTATAGATTTCACAGGGATGATTATTAGATACAGTCTGTACTGTATTTAAAAAAAATCTTCATTCTTTTTTCTTGGACAATGCCTCTTGGGTTATTTCCCAGCTGAAATCATATTCATGCATTCTCATTCATTTGGTATTTCAGTCTTTTTTTGTTGGATGGCATTTCTTGGTGGTTATTGGACTTAATAAGATATGAACTGTGTATAGACACAAATTCAACAGATTTGATAAATGCTGGATGGTAGTAGGAGAAATCTTCAAGAAGTTGGAACAGGAGTGAGATTCTGAGTTTTCTGTTCTTTCCTCTTCTGTGTGCTGTCCCTGGTGTTGGCTGTTCTAGACTCCTGTCTTCACCCCCCTCATTCCAGCAACAGCCACTCTGTATGGGGAGCTTGTGCTGGAGAAGAAAGTATGTACATGTGTGGCTCTGTGTATGTGTCGTGTGTAGGGGTGTGTCCAACTTGTATGTACTTGTACTGAAGCTGTGTGTAGTGTGTTGACGTGCCAGTATGCTTGTGTAGTACGTACATGTTCGTGTACAGTCAAACCAGTACTAGCTAGTAAACACTTCTTCATAAGGACTACCTAGCCAAAGTGACCACTTTTGGTAGTCCCTCGGAGAATTTTGACTGTACATGTGCTTGTGTAGCCTGTGCTGTGTCCAGTGGGAATGGTTTATATGCAAGTCGTGCTATAAGCATGAAGAACACATTTGGTATACACCTTCAGACCTTACATACATACATATACACTACAGATGTGTGCAACAGTAGCTCTGTAGGTTTGTGTGCTGTGGCTACATGTGTTATCTGCATGCCTGCAGCAACCTTCCATTGTGGCCTGTCTGTGTCCTTCTCTTCCTTATCCTGCTTTACAGAGTAATGGGGCTGTGCTTGGCTTGGCCTGTAAATGTTCTGTTAACACTTGTTACTAGTGTGGAAAAGGCTTCTTAATTTAGGAAAGCACATTTCTGCTACAACCATGTTTTGGTAGTGACCCTGTGTGATTTTGTAAGGACCACAACTCTGAACCAACTATATGCATGTTGTTTCCCCACAACAGTGTCAGAACCTGAGCGATGTGGAACACATGACCTGGGTCATCATCAACCATGTAAAGGACCTCATAGAACTGGCCCAGGAGCCCCCTGTACAGGACTTCATAAGGTAAGGGAACGCCACATCCCATTCTGCTGATACAAGCATCACAAAGTCTTGAAATATTGTTTCTTGCTTGCCGTGCTAGGAACTTTTTAGAGTACTGGTTGTTAAACACAGGTGGATACAAATTTTCAGAGAATAATGAGTTTTGGAAATACAAGGAAAGAAGATTTCTAGCTGATTGTAGGTGCAAGTGTGAAGATGTCAAGCCTAGTGATTGTATGTTTCCCTGCACAGTGCAATTCATCGTAACTCTGCTGCTAGTGGACTCTTCTTGCAAGCCATCCACTCAAGATGTGAGAAACTCTCCAAGGTGAGTCCAGTAGGTGAAGTTGCTAGTATTTGATTATGATATACCGGTACTGCTTCTGGGGCTCCTGACACAGGAGTGGGCAGCAGTTTGCTAGTCTTCACACTGCATTTTCAGAATAATAATAATTATTGAACAATTAGATGTTAAGTAGTCTTAGTTTTAAATGTGTTTATCTTGCACATTATCATTTTAACTGCTAAAGATGATTAGAAACTACTTTCTACCAACATCTACTTTAACCCAAGCCAACCTATTTCCATTCCAGCCATGTATAGTGAAGTCCATGCTGGGGTGTTTAGAGGGGATTCACCTGACCCAGTCTGGTACCCTCCTCACCCTCCTGATCGACAAGTTCCTCCAAACCCCCCATCACGCCCTCGCCAGGATGTGTGACTCCCTGGCCTGTCGGAGGGTCGAGATGATCCTCGCTCAGCCTGTGGAGGTTAGAAAATAAACATCGTATTCTGTAATGTTGATGTATTGTTGATGAAGGTTATACAGCAAGCAACTTGACCAATTCTCTTAAGAGTCAGGCATTTCAGATGGCACCCACTTTCTTCATTGACTTGTTGGACCACAGGTAACCAAAGGTGGAAGGTTAGTAAGAAAAAGTAATTCAAGCAACTGGATAAATTCTCTGATATGTATGAAAGCTATAAAATTAGTGTTAAACTGTCACACATGTTGATAAACATTTTGACATAGCAGCATGTTTTTACCCTAACAGGACAGTAGAACCCAGTTTCCTGTGGAAGATGTGGAGAAACTGCAGGTCTTCATGAGAGAATCAGGGCTGGCTCTCAGGTGAGACAGCAGCTGTTTGAATTGTTGCTCTTTGGGACACAGCGAGTGTTTATTAATTTCTAATGAGCATATAAGTCATTACTTTATAGCATTTATCTCATAACATGATGACAATAGCATGTCCAGAAGACGAGATACAAAAATCAGACATTCTGCTGCAGTATCATAGCAAGCCACTAGGAGGCACTGAAAACATAACCTTCACTCACTCACTGGGTCGAGCTTCCCTCGGTTCCAATGACTGCTCTCCATCTCTTCCTATCCTTCATTTCTTGGTGAAGGTTATTGTACATATTGATCATAAACAGGATATACCAGTAGCTTAGCTATGGTCCAGTGTTCAATCATGGTAGTGTCACAATATTCAGACTATATGACTGTACAATGTATGTAATAACTATACAATAGTTGATACCAGCTTCCCTGTGCCTCTGCAGACATCAGCGACTTGCCTCCCTGCTGGCAAGGTTCAAGGCTGTTATCACTCACCAGGCTGTTCCACCAGTGGAACCTCCCCCCTCCTCCCACCCCCTAGATGCTGCTAATATCAACATCGCCTCCCTTTCTATCAATAAGGTAACTTAAATTGTAATACATTTGTAATGAATAGAGATAATCATTCAGTAATGTTGAAATGTAATTTTGGACTTATTTGGATTCAGCTCCTGGATAGTAGAAGAAATAAGATTTAATACATTTATAAAATAGGATTAGAGTACTGTACTGTACTTTATTATAGCACATGTCTTTTCTGTCATGAGCAGTGGAAGAGTAGCCCTTTAGTGGGCTAAACTGACTCTAGATCACTTTCTCTCATGTTATATTTGTAGAAAAATAATTTAATGGACTGTTAAAAGCAGTCACAATGGCCAGTTGGTTGCTAGGCAGAGATGGTCTCTAATACACTAGTTTGACCGATTGACTTCTATTTTGTATGACTGTATAGGACCTGTATGTGGCGACAGTTCAGGACCACTGCTTCCGACGGGACAGTAATGCCCAGGAGTGTGCTCTGATGCTCAGCAAGCTGGACTACTCCGACATACTCACCATCATGATGACCAAGGTACAATTTGCTTCTTCCCTAAAGTAACATACATTTTGTACATTGTAGTCAAACCTGTCTGAAGTGATCACTCAATTGAAAACAGTTGCAGTAGACAGGTGTCCACTACAGATGTAGCTGTAGTACATATTTGAACAAAACTTATTTGGACCGATAAAATCCGGTCAATGTGGACAGGTGACCACTGTAAACAGGACTCTTTTTTTTTTTTTTTTTTATTCATCAATAAACATACAATATACAGGACTCTTAATGCTTGTGTCAATGGGAAAAATTATCTAAGGGACAACCCAAAAAGTGGCCAAATTGGTCAGGTGATTCTAATGCAGTGGTGGTCCTTCTTATGTTTGACAGTGATGAACTGATGTTTTCCTTACTCCAGGAGTTCCACATGAGGCTTCTAGAAGACTCCATCTCAGTAGGACTCCACCAGTCCCTGGCCTCCTCCTCTAAAGCTGACAAGCTCAACCGAACAAAAGGTCTGAAACTGGGGAAGGCTCACAGCCTGCTGCGGGCGTCCTGCATCACCCTACTCCGTCACGTCAGCAACATCGTCAACATCCTCCCCAGTCCGCAGCAGCTGGTCTCCCCCGGCAACCATCACCCGGGTAACCACACCAGCCGCAGCCGGACTCCGCCACGGGAGAAGTACCGACTGAAGATGGACATGTTGTTTGCTGACAGAGAGTGGAGGCATTCAGTGTTCCACATGGCAGCAGGACTGACTGTTTACCTGCTCTCCCTGAACAAGATTCCAGAACAGTGTCAGGTTCCTGAGGACTCCTTCACTGATATCTGCAGATTTAGCGTGTTGGTCTTGGAGGTGAATACATTTTTTCAAAAGATCAACATGAAGATTTTGTGGAGTAAATCTTCAACCCATCGTAGTACCTATACTCGATGATGCAGCTGGATTGAGCAGCTGGAAACTGATTTTCAGCCAAGCTTTTTTGAGATGTATTGCCATTTGTTAACAACACATGTCAGAATGACTCAAATGTCAACCATGCATATGTTGTACATAATTGGTTCAAACTCTTGATGGGCCCTGCTTTAATTTTCGTAAGTTCCAGTTTTGTGTTTTAAAATAAAGATTGAGAAAATCATCATTTCTTGACTCTACTTGTCTATTACTGTCCCAGATCCTGTGCTACCTGCTGTACAAGGGTCGGACGCCCAGCTCCCAGCAGCTGCAGACAGCTGTGGAATGCTGCTGTGCCGTGCTGAAGAACCTGCAGCTGTTTGCTATCATTACAGCTACAGAACACGCCAACCTGGTCACCACTGCTGTGGGCAGCATTCATCAAGTCGTCAAGTCAGGTTTGTATTGTGAATGTCTTTTCTAAAGCATTAGCCTAGAATCTGTCCTACTCTAGCAGCTGTAGCCATTATTATTGCCATGGAGCATGCAAACCTGGTCACCATTGCTGCGAGCAGCATTCATCAAGTCCTCAAAAAGGTCAAACACAACTATTTTTTTCAGTACACCAACAAGTTAAAAGGACAAGAATGACTATAAGTAAGCATAAGATGTGCAGTATTATGCAAAACTACATGTATGTAGATCCAACTTTTCTAAAATGGATTTGTTTTGTTTCCAGTGTGCATTAGTGCTGGAGAGAAACTGTCACCTGTCAACTTACCTGAACCAGGGGAAGACAAAAATGTCTCAGAAGGTACAGTGTGACATTAAGCTGAGATTACTACATAGAATATAGAAGAGAATCTCTGACATAAGTTTCATAAAATGTTGGTGGATGAGCACTAATACTTTTCAAACTTCATTTTAAATGTTAGATGGTAAATAAATATTAAGTAAAATCTGTCTAGTTAAGTTAGTACTTGATTAGGATATCTGGAAGTTGTTGAAACTTTTTTTGTTTGTTGTTATGCCCTTTCAGATCAACAGAGGGCACTTCTGGCTTGCAGACAGATGTGTGAGCTGCTGCAGTGCTTAACAACTACCCTGTCCCCAGCCAACACCAGACTCCCACAGTTCCTTGCCGCACCACTGAGGAATGTGGTGTTGAATCTAGCCAGGCTGCCATTGGTCAACAGCTATGCCAGAACCCCACCAATCGTGTGGAAGATGGGGTGGGGAGCGATGCCGGGGGGAGAGACTGGGACGAAACTGCCCGAACTTCCGTTTGACTTCCTACAGGAGAGAGAAGTGTTGAAGGATTTCATCTTCAGGATAAATGCTGTTGGTAGGTTGAACTTGTGAGAAATATTTTTATTATAGCATGTTTGTTTGAGCCTTTGTGTATTCACGAAATACTAAAAATCAGCCTGATGACTAATTGTCGTCATTGTTGATTCCATGTACTGTCAATATTCCAGGATGGACATCACGGACACAGTTTGAGGAGACCTGGGCAGGCCTGCTGGGGATTCTGAGTGCACTTCCTATTACTGTTCCTGCTGAGAGTAGGGAGGTACGGTTCAAACAGTAGTGTTTGTTTGTTGTTTGGTTTGTTACATAACCAGTAAACCTTGGGCTCCTGAGTGCCCTCCACATCCCTGTACCTGCTGACAGTAGTTACAAGACAAGTGGCTGGTACAAATCATCTAGTAGGAAAATAAAGGATGAGACAATATTAAGGAACGTAAGCAACTAACTGTGTGTACAAAGGACAAGACAGGTGAATTTAGTGTTTTAGTAATGTCAAGTAGCACCATTAACTTGACTGTACAGGCTGTGTGTTGAAGTTTCAAGACCTGTACCCAGGTTAACTGTCCCTCGTCTACAGGAGGAAATTGAGAAGACCCAGGCAAACGTCCTGGCAGTGAGGACCATCACTGCCCTGGTGTTAGACTCCACTCTGCACCCTCAGCCAGGAAACCCTGCCAGCAGTGTGTACGAGTACCGACCCCGCAGCAAGCCTCCTTCTTATATCAACACCAGGTATCAAATTACAGTCACACCTGTACTAGTCACTGTCTCTGCATGAAGACCATCTGGTCATTGACATACATTGTACACTCAGTCAAACCAGTACTGTTGCCCATCTCTACATTCCTTTGTGAGTTGTTTTGAATGTTTCTGTCATATTTCCTGTCTCAGGTCAGGAAGGAAGCTTGCTCAGGTCAGACACATTGTTGAGAAGGAAATCATGGCAATTGCAGCAGAAAGGTCAGTTGTTCATGTTACCTTTTTGTATTTTTTGCTGTCCTACATGTACAATGTGATTCTGTTAGTAAAGTATAGCTTAAAATTACAACTGACATTAAATTTTTGTGGTAGTTGCAAAAAGTGTTTCTTAGGCCACACCAATTTAATTTCTTGGTTAACGGATTTTTCTAGAAAAATAATGGAGCGGGCGGGCGAAAAAAAAATAAAAACAAGAAGCCATAGGTGACAATTCTCCGTGAAGTATTATATATTGCAACAAAAAGAAGTAGCCATTGGCGACAATTCTCTGTGAAGTGTGATAAATCGAACAAAGAAAAATTGTTTAAACGCGCGTCGGCTCAGTCATCTTAAGACGCAACAACCAATCAGAGATGCGAGATGCCTACACGTGACGCGGGAAGGGCGCGCGATGCCCGAAATATTTTTGCGTCAATATTCAGCGCCGTGATTCAAGAGATTAATACCCGGAAACAATTTTTTCTTGTTTTGAACGCATTAACATGCATTTACGCTAATCTAGTATGATTCAGGGTTACTTTTTTTTAACCTGCCATGGCCAGATTATCTAAAGATGTGTGTATTGTGTGTACAATCTATAGAAAGAGAAATGTACATCAGGTCCGATCATCCGATTTTCACGTTTCGGTTTTTTGGACTCGGTTCATGAACGTATTTTGGTTTGGCTCCTGGGATGTGCGAAAAAAATGACTCCCGGGACTGTCTACAGGGAACACTCGCACATTCGCGGTGTATCAGGACAGCGCGACTGGTCGTCATTAGCGCAGTAACAGTTGCATAAACGGACGAAACCATTTCAAAGAAATGGGGATGTTTCGAAAATAAGCATTTACTCCAATATCAAAACAGCTACGGTAAAAATAAAAAGACGTGCATCATCCCGGACATAATGCAACACCACATGCGAAATTACACAGAAATGCGACGTACGGAAGAATGCGTTTTGGCTGCGAACATCTTCCAAAAAACTTGGCATCTCTTACCCATGGGCAAAAACATCTGGAACCACTTATAAAAACCACCCCGTATCTGCATGAACTTTTTTGAACCCCACTGCTATTCCAAACAACGCGTTTTTCTGGACCATTCCAATTCGCCTCGTAATTGTAGGGGTGCGTCTGCGATATTACATTGACCGCGAAAGCAGCAACGGCAAAAATACACATTCGTGCATCAACACGGGCATGCCCGCAGACGGCGTATAAAATTGCGTGCCGATTACACAAAGAGAACCCAGTGTTTTGACTGCGAACATGAAAAATCAGCCGATTACAACACTCCGTCCGGAGGTCCTGACCTCCTTCACGGAGTAATAAAAACAGGCCTAGGCATCCTATTATGGCCCAAAATGGTACAATAGGAGCCATGAAGTCAACACACCAGGCTGGTTTAAAATTTAAACGATGACTTTTGAACTTTAAATCATACCATTGCATTGAAAAATGGAATAACTGTAACAACTAGGATGAAAAGGACTGTTTTTCAACTGTTCAGGGCAAAATATGAGCATTTTGCAGATGATTCTGAATTTTTCTTTTTATTTGCAAATCAGAAAAAAATGAAGCGGGCGAATCCGTTAACCAAGAAATTAAATTGGTGTGGCCTTATGATAAGAGAATCACCATAATTTTCCTCTATCCCCAGATGTGACCTTTGCTCCCATCATCCATACTTCAACATGCACGAGCACCAGTTGCTGGAGGGGGAGGGGGGCCTGTACAGCGGAGATGTGCACAGGACACTGGGCTTCACAGACTATGGGCTGGGACATGTAAGTTACATGTACTCTCACTGTTTCATGACATTATCTTTTTCTTTTTAACTTTTTTCAAAGACTTCAAAATGTGTTACTTAGTGTGGAGTAGAGGAGTAGGGATATCCATTTTAAATTTGCTGGAAGAACTGACCTTTTGACACTGGAATGTCCAATTTTTGGCTACATGTATAGCAGAAGCTTGTATGTTTTGTGCGTGTATGTTACTTGAATCATGATTATCATTTAATATAACAAAAAAATGTTGTATTTTGGTACCATGACCATTTCAAAAGTTTGGTTAGCTGTGTAGGTTAGTAAGTAAGTAAGTAAGTAAGCTATCTCTGTATTGACAGGTGTCCATCAAGTCCATCTGGTCTGACAACCACATCCTGAACCAGACACCGGACACAGACGAGGAGCCTGAGTTCCCCGAGCAGGAGGATGGGACGTCCCAGCCGCTGGTGACCACGCCGCGCCGGTTCCGCGGCGGACTGGACATCCACTCCTGTCTGCAGTTCCTGGTGGAGCTGTACAGCCAGTGGATGGAGCCCACAGCCATGCCCAGGACTCCTGTACCACTGCTGTGTGAGGTGGCCAAGTCGGTCAGTCAAGGCACACTTCATTATCAGTGTTCTAGATTGCTTAATTTGAGTGTAGGGGCCCCCTACACTCAGTGATTTGGACCCCTTTCTGACCCTTCATAAATCTTGGGTTAAATATATCTGGCTTCAGAAGAAGACTGTAACAAAAAGACAAACTTGATTCACACTTTTCACATTGTTTTTTCTCTGCAGATTTTGCTAATTTCCGACCTGTTCACTGAGCTGCGTCAGTACGAGTGGATGTTTGACTCCTTACTGGAGCTGAACAAAATCCATCCCGTGGAGGACGAAATCCTGCTACAGTACGTGGTACCTGGAGTCTGTAAGGCTGGAGCTGTCATGGGCATGGTAGGGACATGTTTCTTATTTCTTCACGTAGGAGGGAATTATTTTTTTATGGCTTCACCACACCACGAATGAAACCATATTGCTTTTTCTGATGTTTCTTCTCCTCCTTCTTCTCCTTCTCCTGCCATTTTTTAAATGGATTCAGCTTCTTCATTTTGGGGCCTAAGGACCTGAAATTTGGTATGGAGGTACAGTGGGCAAATACCCCCAGGCGTTTTTTAAATTTTGGTGATACAGGCTTTTAGAATGGTTTTATTTGAGCTTTTTGGCTGTGTTATAGCAAATGTATTACTGTGCTGTGTACCACGTTTGGGCATGAGTCATCACAATGGAATGCAGGGCATCAACCAATAGGCATGCAGCTTTCCTCTATTCTTCTTGCTGATTGGCTGTTGGGATTTAACTTGATTAACACCTGCACAGAGCATTTCCACCTGCACAGAGCATTTCTTGCTGATTGGCTGTTGGGATTTAACTTGATTAACACCTGCACAGAGCATTTTCATACTGACAGTATGTCTGTATTCAAGTGTTTTGGTAGGTATTTCAAGCTTTCCTGCTCCAGCATTGGAATGCGGGGCATGAACGTTTTTTTTTATTTAGTAAATACACAGTTTGCATTATGCAATTAAAAATCCTAACCAATAATGGTGGGGAATAGCTATCCAACTGTTGTTTTAGTTGTATGTTACTTCATATTATAGTTATATCAATGTAAATCATTGTTTTCCCTTGTGTTTCTCATTCTTTCCCTACCATGTCGTAAAATGTGGTGAAGCCATCGCTGTATTTGCTCCTAAGCAAATATTGGCCTTTCTAGTTTACATTTGTACTTGTTTTGTTTCCATAAATGTAGGTAAATTCCACTATTTCTATCACTATCTCTGCTATGTAGCTCTAGTCATAAGGCCACACCAATTTAATTTGTTGGTTCTCGGATTTTTTTCAGTAAAAAAATATGAAGCGAGAGGGCGAAAAAATAAAATAAAAACAGGTCTAGGCATCCTATTATAGGCTTAAATGCTACAAAATGAGCCGTGAAGTCAACACAAAAGGCTGGGTTAAAATTTAAACATTGAATTTTGAACTTTTAATGAAACCACTGCAATGATAGATGGGAAAACTGTAACAACTAGGAAGAAAAGGACTTTCCTCAACTGTTGAGGGGCAAAACATGAGCATTTTTCAGTTGATTCAGGACCAGAATCAATTTTTTTTTTTTTGCAAATCAGAAAAAAACGAAGAGGCGAATCCGAGAACCAACAAATTAAATTGGTGTGGCCTAAAGAAAATTAAAATTGATGTATAAATGTAGCATGAAGCAAATAATATTTGGTACTTTGACAAATAATAAATACATGTAATACCATTTCTGTTTCATAGGAAGGACCTGTAGCAGAAAGAGTGTCCAAACTGCTGGAGTCTTCTCTAAAGAGCACACATCTCCCAACCAAGGTAACAAACATGTAGACTGATCTCCAAGCAGGTGTTGAGGCAGGAAATCGTAAATTAATCTTTTCTTATCAGCTGCCGACATAGTGCTAGGGTCAAGGTTGTTAGAACATCGGTTGAGTTGTTGAAACATACGGATGATATAGGCCTGGTGTATGGGAGCATAGGGTTGTAACCATATCTCCTTCCCTGCCCCCCTCCCCCAGGTGGGTAGTGTGTACGGCAGCCTGTACATCCTGGAGGCAGGTCCATCTGAGGCCACCAAGCTGCTGGTGCCGGTACTGCAGGACTACCTCGGCAAGAACATCCCGCCCACTGCACAGTAAGTCAGAATGTTGTCACAACCCTGAAAATGAGGAATAATGGGCTGATAATGTAGCTACCATTTGTATGTGTACATCACTGCCCAGGTGCTGTATTGATCCCAATACAATGTATGTTGTAAATGCAGATTATGCATTACTGGTATCAGTATTCATCTGTATGTTGTGACTACATGTACATGTGTGTATTTTGTATATTTTATTTGTGCATACCCCTGCCCAGGTGCTGTATTGTACACGTGGAGCCCCATGTCTTAGCCATGTGGGCTACAGTCTTCTACCTACTGGAGCATTACCAGGATGACTTAAAGGAGTCAGACTTCAAGGTACAATAAATCAACGTGTATCATAATGTAGAACCTATGTATCATGCTGTATTCAATTCGGATTGTCCTGCTTTTGATACTTCGATTACTTTTTAAGGTTTTCTAGATGTTGAAAGCTTGCTAAGATTTGGGTAACTGTTTTAAGTAACAAGTACTTTGATTGACAGTCCACCATGCTGCAAGCCGCCATCACCACGGCCTCGGGGAGTGAGGAGGTCACGCCTGCGCCGGTGTACCACGCCGTGGTGCGCGGCCTGGAGAGGCTGCTGGTCACCAGGGTACTGACCGGCCATGAAGCAGAACCACTGGTCAAACTCAGCGTGGACAGGTACACGGGCTATGTACATTGTACAGTTAAACATTGTAAATCTGTTTGAATGTTTGTTTCCACAGTTGGAGCCTGGCACACATGTCAAAGAATGTTTTTGAGAAGCAAACAGTGCATAATAATTGTAATTACATACAATTGCAAGTTATTGTAATCTTTGCTCTGTTAGCTCCCCAAAAGAACATTTTCTCAAGTTGTGGTACCAGGTTCCAAACTGTATGATTTGTAAGGTTTGATGTTCATTAATTGGTGGCATAACTGCTTTAACTCCTGTACCTCCTGCAGACTATGCCTGCCCAGTCCTCCCCGTGCCATCGCAGCGCTGGGCCTGATGTTGACCTGTATGTACACAGGGAAGGACGGAGGTGACCTCAGCAGCGACACCGGCTCCGAGCCGACCACACCCGACAACGAGTCACTCATCGTTGCCATGGAGAGGGTCACTGTGCTGTTTGACAGGTCAGAATAGAGCAAAACAAACAAAGAATGTCAAATTACTAATTTGCTAATTGTCAGTAACATAATATGAATTCTAAGTACAGAAAAACTTAAATGAAATATTCTGGTCAGAGGACATCCCTAACCAAAGGTCTTTTGAGTGAGGAAATAAGACTGGTGTATAGTGTCCAAAGGCACAGCCCTGGGGTCTACAATGGATTTGAACCCAGCACCTTCAGATTCCAAGTCAACAATCCTAACCACAAAACCACTTTGCCACCTTTACATTGATTACTTTGTGTTCTACTTTACATTTTCTACCTACATCCCACACAGGATCAGGAAGGGTTTCCCGTGTGAGGCTCGTGTGGTGGCGAGGATCCTGCCAACCTTCCTGGACGACTTCTTCCCCGCCCAGGACATCATGAACAAAGTCATCGGGGAGTTCCTGTCCTCACAGCAGCCACACCCGCAGCTCATGGCTAAGGTCCTGTATGATGTAAGTCTCAACTCATACTATCTTGTATCATAGGAATGTATCATGTACATGTACATGTATCATGGGAATAATTAGTGTGCAGCCAAACCTACACAAATACCCACATCAACAGCCACATACCACCTGGCATTGATATACAGCCAAAGCTGTACAAGTGACCATCTCTACATGATGACGACCTAGATGACAAACATTGCTGGTTTTGAGAACATGTAATTTGTTGAGTAGTTTTTTGTTTGAATAAAGCTTTTTTAATGCTCAGTTACACGTATGACAGTCAAGCTAATAGAAGTGACCACTTGGCTATTGATATACAGCCAAATCAGGAACAAGTGACCACTTCAAAAAGGACGACCTGGATGACAAACATTTCTAGTTTTGAGTAGTTTTTTCTTACATCAATGAAGCTTCATTAACAATAACTAACCCTAACCCCCAGGTGTTCCACAACCTGCACGAGCGAGACCAGCAGCAGGTGGTGCGAGACTGGGTCATGCTGTCCCTCTCCAACTTCACCCAGCGCACACCTGTTGCCATGGCAACATGGAGCCTCACCTGCTTCTTCCTCAGCGCCTCCACCAACCCCTGGGTCTGCGCACTGTATCCTTACACTGCACTGATATCATGGTCATGACAGCTTGCATTAGACTACCCCATATGACCAGATGTAGAAATGGTCCAAATTCCACTGTACTACATTTTGTTGAGAAAAACAAAAAATTTACAAGTAGTATGAATATTTTTGTTATTGCCTGTATATGTATTGTGGGTCATACATGTACATGTAGTCCTTGACAGCTGGTGTTAGATTACCCCATGTGATCGGGCGCATGGGTCTGATGGAGACTGTGGACCGTAAGCTGTTCTGTATCACTGCACTGGACTTCTACAAAAACCAGGTATTATTTTTGTAGAAGTAATCCGTGTAGGTTGTAACCAATGTAGGTTTTGTCTTTGTTATGTCTGTGAGTTTGCTTGTGTTTCCATTATTCCAAGAAGCACATCCAACATGAATCCATCCCAACATGTTTTTTTGTGTGTTTTTTTTCAGATCACAGAAGAACTGGACAGACGAGCGTTTGAGTCCATCTTTCAGGCTGCGTCATCATCTGCTCCTGATGGCCCCTATCTGCAGCTCATCCAGCTCATCCACTGAACACCCACCCAGGTTTACAACCGTGGTTACACACACACATACAATTATCACTGCCCTCAATCAGATAAACTTGCATATTATATACCTGATTACACACTTACTGTAGGAAATATCTACCTTTGGATGATTGCCATTTATCGAAGGCAAGTCTCAAACCCCCATTGATTGTGCACTACATGAAAAAAAATAGCCTGGTATCCATTCTGTTCTACCGGTAGCTATGGTTTTCTACTTCGACAAACCCAGATACATTTGGAATAGGTAATATGGTTCCTGATGACAGTATAGTGACAGTAACAGTGTTCAAACAGGCAGTCGGAAGCTTGATCCTAGTTGAACTGCTTCTGAGAAGAATTTGATTCCCAGTAATGCAGGATGTAAGGACCAAAATTCTTCAGTGGGAATGGGGCCAGAGTATATGGTGGGGAAGTGATCAGAGGAGCGAACTGGATCTAGGACAGGATGGATTCCAGACCAGTAGAAAATTCCCATCCATAAATATGATTTTAGAGTAACATTAACACGTACAGTTCATGTGCCAAGTGGATTAATGTTGATAAATGAGTGTGAGAGGAAGTTTAAAATAAGAGGGCCTGTTGAAGAGTGTAAATATTGCTGAACTACATGTAGGCTGTTACATTGGATCTGCTGGTGCCAAATTTGGTACATCATCGTTACAGAATTAAAACACAGTCCAGATGTACAACATTGTACATGTAGCTATGATCAGGGCACACCATATTACAAACAGCTAAAAACCTGTAGACAGTACTGTATTAGATGCACCTGGCAGCTTACTATAGCACTGAATTATAATAGTTCTGTAGTAACAAAAATATCAAAAGTGAAATGCCTTTGGGGTGATAATTGTAGGGTGTAGGTTGCTGTAAGTATTTAGCTCAAAGATGGTATTTCTTGATTGGACTGCTAATTCTGGATCCTTATACCGATAGAAGCATTGAGGGTGCATCTGGCACTGATGACATGCCTCTTATACAGTACTGTAAATCACTAGACACACTTTCACAATAAATAATGTAAAGAAACACAATGAAGTACATGTACTTGTAGGTGATGTATTTGCACATGTAGTAAATGCACTGTAAAATTGTAACAACCTGGTAAATATTCTCCCACTAAACATTTCAACACACCCCCCAACAGCTTTAGATTGTAGACAATTAACATTTTTTAGTAAAGTTCAAAATGTAAGTATGAAGTAACTGGTAAGCATTAAGTTTTGAAAGGTAGGGAAACTTGTGATATATTAGCAATTGTAACTGGTAGATTCCTAAGCTACCTAATCAAATTAGTGTGACCATCAGTACAAGTAATGACATTCAAAAATCTTAGTAAAATTGTAGAACTGTGACAGTTAGAATGTACTTCTGAATACGAAAGTGATACAATGTATATGAAAACTCTTTCTGATTATTGACATATTTTCCACATGCAAAATAGCACTTCATGATCAGTTCTGCCCTTTGGAAGATAATAGCAAGTATATATAGAACAAGTGAATGTCTGCAGACTGTGTACAGTGGGTAACTTTGTGTTGTATGGGTCATCAATTGTAGATTATGATCATGACATTGTGTTTCATGGAGAAATGTGCTGAATCCTTATGAGAAAGGTAAAGCAAAGATGGTGCCAGGACTGAATGGTGTCCCCTGGATGCACCCATGACGTCTTGACACAACAACACTCTATCAGATTCTCTGATTGACGTATGAAAGAATGCCATGGATCAGGCAGTCAGTGCTGTACATGGACATGTAATGTTGTCATGATATTTGTGTTGCTGAGTAGGCCTCCTTTCCATTAGATGGTGATTGCTGAGTGTCCAAAATTAGATTTGTGCCCCCCTTACTATTATAATTGGACTACAATGCACAATGTTTAAGTACGATTTAAAAGACAACAAAACACACAAAAAGTGAAAAAAATTCTTTATATCGTTGAACAGCTGTCAATTTTTGGGTATCTCAGCCAGTTTCTAGTGGAAAGTCTGTTGTTAGCTGTTGTCCGATGAACAGTATTTTTACTGTACTTGAATGATGAGTGAGTGGAAAGTGTCATAGTTCTGTAATATTACATTTTACTCTCTATAGAATGTGTATGTATACTATATGCTTCTGTATATTATGGTCATATGTAATCATTAATGGTATATTAAGATGCAAATTACAGCAAAGACAGACAACAGTTAAGTCTACAGGACCCTGTTGGGATGTTTTCCAACCTTTTGATGTTGCTTCGTTAGTGCAATGGACTGTATACTCAGAAGATATTTCCTGCTTATATGTTTTAGAAATAGAATTTATTTGAAGGTGCAATCAATAAAGCAGTCATTTCTCTCAGTGACTTGCCTTTATGAGTCATATGCATTATCAAAATTATGCAAATGGTCCTAACAAGCGTAATTCATGTCTAGCTATAGTCCGCTTTTTAACACAAAAATGAATCCCATAATTATGCAAATGTTGGAATTATTTGCATAATTTATATCTAATGTTTCTTCCTATGCAAATGATTTACATCACAATTATGAAGGCCAAAAGTATAAAACACACTCAGGTATACATTCACCTTTTTACACAGATGTATACAGTATCAAGTAAACACAATGCAAGAATCTGATTATTCAAACTTCATTTTCTTCCACAAAATACAAGCTTGAAGCACTAACCATGTATACATAACTTTTCATGTGTACAGAACTAATATTTTCATTTGACAATAAAATCTTTGTTACGTTTAAGCGAGTACATTGTAGGCACATTAGTAGCATAATCACACAAACTATGAAGCTCTTACCATCATCATTGAGTTTATGTTATAAAGTTATAAGATGTAAATAATAGAGTGATCAGTGTCTATAATTAACGTTATTTTCACATCTACAAATGCCATGTAATTATTAATAATAGATTCTACAATTGTTTTGTAACCTCATTCAAATAGCCATCACAAAAATAATACTGATTTCATAACTAATCTCTATACATTACATTACTATACATAATTGTGGACTACAAGGTACGTAACATCAGTTGTTATCTAGCAATAATTATTACAAAATGCAAATCATCTCTATAAATGTGTGGGACACTTTCAGTATCCATCTACTGGTATTTCACTTGGTGAATTGCTTTCCCAATTATTTTCTGAACATTCGGAAGCAAATAATAAGGGACCCAACTTTTAGACTCAATTATGGAGTGTATTGGGATCTATTGGATTTCAGTGATTTTTCCAAACTTTGATTTTAAAGTTGAAAAAGGCACAATTTAATCATACACATCACTATTACATCACAAGCAACTGTTAATTACAGATGAGTTTTAACTCAATTATAAATTTAGTATCAAATTAACAAATAATTAGACAATTTTCATTATATTAAATAATCATTCTTTCTGGTGACAAAAAACAACAGGACGGAGAATGTAGGGGAAGACAAAGGACCTCAATAGAATAAAAGAGACAAAAATAGGACCATGGTCAAGGTACATGGACCATCTTTTGTGTGAAATCCAGTTTTTAAAAATCCTCTGTAAAAATAGACCACAGTTCCAATAAATCAGTAATTTCCATCATTACCAAAAAGGCACTTGATATCATACTAAGTATACTTACGCTAAGGCACATCCTCCCTTCATACCTGTACTTTTCAATGTACTTAAGATCATAAAATATTGATTTATAAAAGATGTTACATAATAGCATGTTAACAATAAGGAACTGGCAAGGACTGAAGCAGTGCAACATAGTGCTTTCAAAATGTCAACTAGCACAATAAAAATATCTAAAAACTAACCTAAAGAAACTAAGGAATAAATTGGTTACATTGTCAGAAATTTCACCTCCTAAAATAGCTAGGAAAATCAGCATGATGTATAGAACTCAATCACTGTGTCTTTGCCAAATAAAGGGAATGTTAGAAGCAAGCAGCAATACAATAGGCCTTAGCTAGATAGGGCAAGTTAGACGTACATGTATAAATGTATTTTAGGAATATTAGTAAGTACTACTTGTTACAAAAGCCCAGGCAATAAGCCGGTTCAATTTGAACTGTGAATGTACAATGTGGTACATTGTAGATAATGTAACAAGCTTGAAGCCCCGAGACCTAAACAAAACACATCTGGACATGTATCAAGCATGCCTAAACAGGAATTGCTTGTTATATGACTATTAACCATGAACTGGTTTATATATAAACCATGAACTGGTTTATTATGAGTCATAGCCATGATAGTAATAATGACAAAGTGGCTCTGACCCTAAGGCATTGCCAAAAATCTTTTGCACAAAGGTTGCATTGATTACTGTAAATTCATTTACTTTTGCACTGATTTTCAATTCTGCAGAGTTTTCAATTTGCAGTTGAAACTATTCTGTATTACAGTCATAATTCGTGGGAACACATATCTACGGTGTCATAATTTTGCATTGGAGATGTCACTTCAAATACAAAACCACTGCAAAAGTTTCCAGATTTACAGTATTAGAATCCAGTTGAGAAGCCCTGTTCCAACATGATCTGGTTCACAAGTAACCTTGACAGCACAATGCCCAGAAGCTAGAGGGGAATGAATTGTACAGTGCATATTAACAACTAAGTCTTGAATGTATCACAATACTGTAAAGCCATACCCCACTGGGAGGCACATTTGGGGATGACTCCACATATGACAGTCATATGACTGACAAAAAGCTTTGTTACGTCATTCCACCACTGTTCAAACTTAAGGTAAAATTTAAAAATATAAGCAGTCATTTTTATTTCATGTACATTTGAAAAAAATAAAATGAATAGCTTTATATTGTACGTTTATACAAAAGTATAAATCCTTAAGGATAAGCATAGAAAAGTTTACATGCATGGCTTGACACTTGTAGCCATTGGTACACAGCTCATGTCAAATATATAATGGTTCACAATATATACTTATACTTTCATATATAACACTCCCCGACAGTGTATCCCTCTGTTTTCTGTAAGTGTGGGATGTTTCTTCGGATTTAGTAGCTGAGCATGCACTAAAAAAGTACTGTTAAACTCTCCCTATCATCAAAATCTATGATGAAATCTATTATGATATATGAATCATGCACATGAAAATCTCTAGAATGGATGCCAGCCTTTTTAGCTTTAATACGCTCTCTTAATCGCTTCCATGCCAAAATGACTGAACCTGCACATCCTATCCGTCTGTCATTTGAACAGTTGTTGAGGATTTAAACACTGATTCGCAAAGCCTATGTGGCAGCACATGGGGTTGAGCTGACAGTTGAATTAACTCATGACGTAACGTAATTGCTGTGGGCCCAGTCGTAATAAAGCTAAAAAGGCTGCAGCTGGATCCAGGCTAAAGGTTCTCATCCTAAACTACCATGACCGTTAGAGTACTTGATGACCATGACTCGTCAGTAACAAGATTGTTGATTGGTCCATCCCCTTACAACTGGGCCTGCTGATTGGCCAGTGCCCTTTCATCCTCTATCTGGTTGATGAACACCCTGGACAGAAGGATGCCGACCAACTGCGAGGTACAGAGGTTCTGGGATTAGTCTCTACAGGTATGCAGGCTGTTAGCTATTACTACGTACATGTACATCATGCAGTGGTTAGAACATGCACTGCACTAATGAGGAGGTTTATGGTTTGAACTGTATTAACATATAAAGCATTTAGATACTAGTATCTTACTCTGTACTTAATTCTATGGCAGACTAAGCAAGCAGTGTGAATGGTTACATTTATTTTGCTTATCAGGAAAAATGGGGTTTGGTTCATATGCTGGCCATTCATTATTGACTTCCTAAGGTTTGCATGGACCTTCGAATGAGATGTTAAGCTATATAAGCTATATGTAGGGATGAATCGTCAAATGTACTTGTAGGAAAGAGGGAATTCCCCAGTACAAATAATCAGTGTTATAAGTGTATGTGGTGTATGTACAACCCTTACATTTCCAACATTCCATCCATGAACATACAGCCTAGTCAAACCTTAGCAACCCACCTGTGGAATAGCCAGGCCCATAGCGATCCCCCCTAACAGGAACAGGTTCTCCCTGGCCCAGTCTGCCACTGCAAAGATACAGCTGCGGATGTAGATTCTGTCAACTGCTTCAGTCGGCTGTGGGGACAAACAACAGTGTCAGTGTCAACAAGCTTTACTAATGCAACAAAGAGTATGCAATCGGGTGGGGCTACATTTGTAATTGCAGGTTTCAATATATCTCTTACACATGTGTGTACAGTATAGTTGAAAACTGGTATCCCATAGAGGATAACCTTGTAATAAAACTTGTGACAGGACTGGTGCAGCCCAATTTAATGATAAAATTAGCTTTGTGAATCCACTGGACCTACCGTTACATCAGGAGCAAAGTCATAGCCACACATAGTGTTGATCACAGCCTGAAAAGGTAGAATATTAATAAGTTACTATATAAAATAAAATATAAAATATATGTATAAAAATACTACAATCAATATATATTGATAATCAACAACAAATAAACTGGTAGTTTGTATACACATACATTCTGATTTCTGTATGTATCTGTGATCTATGTGTTGATCATGAATTACAGGTGGAATGACTGGAATAATACTGTCAATCTCCTATAAGGTCAATTAGTCCTCAGTTTCAGTAAGTCAAGCGGTTCTTGAGTATTGATGTTTCTGACTTACAAGAGATGTTGTTCCAATTAACCAAACCTAGTTCAGTACCTAGAAGCTTAGTGGTCTCTGGCCTTACACTGAGCAAATTCATTAAAAATGCATATATTAAGTGGTGGAAGGACTGACCTCCTCCCCCTCAGGTCTGCAGCAGGAGTATGGCACCCCACACCTCTCCCTGCTCAGGTTCTCCTCGGAACAGTTGAAGTACCGGTTGTGCTGATGCCAGTCCTTAAACCCATCCTTTCCTCCACAGCACTGGAACTAGAAGGAAAGTCAAAGTGGAAAATCCCTCAGCCAAGTATAACGTTGACAGCTTGATATCCTGCTAAGGATTGAGATCCTTTCCAGTTGGTGAAGGTTACTAATGGTAAAACTGGATGATTTTTGAAGTCATAATGTTTGTGACATAGAGATATAGTGACCTAGGGTAGACAAGTGTGTTACTTACAGGCATTGCCTTTATTATAGACATCCAGAGAAAGCAGGAGAGAGAGTACAAGATAGTAGATATACATATGAAGCACAGACAGAGTCAAATCAGAAAATGGGGGTGTTGGAACATAGGGCAGTGTTATAGGCTAAGACATACTGTTAAAATTCTGACTAACCTCCTTTTGTGTCCAGTCGATAAGGTTCTGAAGGTCAATGTCATCCCTGTACTTCTCTATGGCTGTCTCCACAAGGGTTCCTATCTGTTCCTCTACCTACAAGCAATGGAACAATAGGACATGTGATATTATCCAAACAAAAAAATTCTGACAGTTTAGATATTTATTCTGCCAAGTATCCTCAACTGTAATCAAAGTCCACTTACTAATATTAGCTATGATAAAATCTCTAGGGTACTATTAAAAGGTATGCCATTATGTTATGTCACTATGTACAACAGTGTGAACTGTGATCTTATGGGTACATGTATGTCCTGTTGAAAGGTTTAGAATTTACCATAAACTTGTTTCTGACTCTCAGTCATGGTACATGTATGCCATCAATCAAGGAGGTTTAAAATCAACCTCCTTACATCAATCTAGCATCTGGTTATTTTACAACCCTGCTAATAGTACCTTATCAGAGAAGATAAAGCCTAGAATGGCTCCCACCAGCTGTAGCACGAAGAGGATCAGAAGAACATAGCAGTACTGTGGAGGAAAACAACAATTAATTATCTCACGTTTGTCCATCATTTAAAAAACTGACATCCAGGAAAATTATTTTCTTATGCAAAATACATTTGCATAAGCAGTCCATGGGTTCTGCATAAATGTAATAAATATATTAAGCTTTCTAATGATATACTGTTACGTGTGTATATATACCAAATACACCTAAGTACAGAAGTGTAAGTACACTTAATGATATGTAACACATCGGTTAAGTAATAACAAAGCCAAAATCTTACAAACTTTTTGTGTTAATTTTTTATGTTGACCATCTAACAACATTGTTTATCTTACTGGTGTCTCAGTCACACAAACACAAAGGTACCGAAGTAACGGGTTCCTCACTGGCCAGCCAGTGCTGAATTCGCGGGGAAAGTGGCGTCGGCACTCGGGGCCCTGTGCGGAAGGAAACTCTGCACAGCAATTCTAGTGCTGAACGGCTTTTTTTTCCAGTGCTGAAGCTCCGACAGAACTGGAATTCCAGAGCTGAATCTTGACTCCAGTGATAAATTCCACTCAGCACTCGCTTGCCAGTGCTCGGAGGCCATTCACCACTGGATAGCCAGCGCTCGGAGGCCGTTCACCACTATATAGCCAGTGCTGAATTCCACTCAGCACTCGCTTACCTGAGTGCTCGGAGGCCATTCACCACTGGATAGCAAGTGCCGAAGTACCCAAGTAACAGGTTCCTCACTGAATCGTTCCAGTGCTTAGTGACTCTTGGCGCTGGGAGCCGAGTTCTCAAACCATTTCGGCACTGGGCTTCTGGTGCTTACGTTGGCCTCGCAGCGTACAGCACAGTATCTTAGGCCAAGTCTACGTCTTTGAAAATGTAAGAAAAGAGGCCGTGCAGTCCGTTCCCGCCGATCACATTGTTGTCCCGATTAAACTTTGTTACCCGGGCGGTATGATCTCGAAAATATGAGTGTTATACTTCAAAGGCAGCATCTCGATACCCTTTTTAAAGACAAGGTTTGGTTTGCCGATTCCGAGTTTCCAGTGCTGAAGCTGCCAACACTGGACACCAAGTGTTGACGTACCTTCGGCACTGGAGACCTAGGACGGAAGCCGCCTCACCTCTGTATATATACCGAGAAAGGAACCCGTTACTTCGGTACTTTTGCCACACAAACAAGTGCCTCACTGTTTTTAGCAGACATATGTTCTCCCTCAGAGCTCCCACACAGCCGAAGAATCCCAGGATCCAGGCAAGGGATCCCACGATGATCAGTACAATGGCTGGATCTGCCAGCAGATCCACCACAGCATTCACCTGTCCCTTCTCCACACGAGCATAGATCCCGATCCCCAGTAAGGCACCTGCTATCAGCTGGGGAATACATGATGCAAGACAAGTCTGACATCTCCAAAGGGTAAAGGCAATAGCTAGATAAACATTTGGTAAGTCCGTGGACGATTCATGAAAACGAAATATGTTGTTGTCCAACGTTTATCATTTGATTAGACGTAGACCTGATTCTCACGTGGGGAGGGGGGCGGTGCAAAACTGGAAAACATCAGTAACACTTGAGCGAAAGCTCGCTGTATTACTACTAGTATTGGATTTATCCTGTTAATCTAACAACATTAGCAGGCAAACTAGCCTTGATGTCAAACTGTTTCTAGCTCCTCGGCTCCAGGGCCAACATGGGAAAATATTATAACGTTACCAGAGAAAGACCTGCACCTGGCAGGCTGGCAAACTGGGGATATATAGGGCGCCATGGGAGCGAGACATGTTTCTCCCGTTCCCCCAGGCTATGGCTGAAGGAATTGGTCTGGCATCCAAACAAACTTACCCAGAAGAAAAAGGTGAAGACGAAGAGAGAATACTTGACGAGCGGACTGATGGCGGTGACGCGTTTCTGACGGCGATGGCGCAGTTGTTGCCGCTGTTCTCTCTCCCTTCTACTCCCCAGTTCCATGGCCCGACACTACCTCTTACAAACCATCCTATGTTTACAGTGGATAGTGTCCAGGAATCGTACGAACGATGACTATTATAACGGCACGCACCAGATAATGTTTACTCCTCCCGCCCAGTGACAACTTCCTTTTTTTCATGACAAGATGGCTTTCTATATCCGGGTCAAAGGTCGTCTGCCACCTGTTCATGAAGAATGACGCCAATTATTTTGGCGACGCCTCACGGATGGGCTCTGTTTGATGATGACAAATTTCTATGCGAGAAATTTTCCCAGGGAAGTCATTTTTGCATGATGTATGAAAAGAGAACTTTGCACGCTTCAGGAGTCAAGGAGATAATAAAAAGTATTTTACTTGTATTTAATAATAGCACTATCACAGTCTTTGGTATAGCCAAGGAGGTTTAAAATCATTTAAATCTCCTTGGATTAGAGGAAAGAATATCTGAAGTCCATTGTGGAATAACACCCAAACCAAGCATCTTGTATTTTCTTGGTATGCTAAAAAGTCCCTGAGACGCTCCCAAGAAATATCCCAAGGTGGTAGTTATGTGTATCAGGTTGCCGGTTAATAAGTTGCTGACCTTCCTAGGTTAAGGTGTTGCTAGATCCCCCACCACCCAAGCAGACCTTCAAAAATGAATTTACAAAAAATATGTGTCAAAACTTCATTATTACCCAATCAGTAAAACTCCACTGCGCAAGTTAGGCCACACCGATTTAATTTTATGGATGACATCCTCTGAAGACCCTCAAACTACTGCGCGCGGGCGAAAAAAAAAAAATCCGGCCAAAAATAAAAATGCTACAAAACCTGGTATTGTGAATTTGGCGCATTACATAGCGACGTATACGACAGGCCGACACATGCTGGATTTTTGCGGAATATATGAATCGACACTGCTGTACGTATGTACTGAGTTCTTGAGTCTTGGAGCTTCGGTAGCCTGGCTGCCGTCAACCAGAGTTATCACCACCATGCACTACCCAGGCCTAAAGCCAGGCCAGAGCCTCGGAATACGTGATCTTTTTTTTTTTTTTTTTGAGATCGGGCGAAAATCAATGCGCGCGCGGATGTCATCCATAAAATTAAATCGGTGTGGCCTTACATGTGATGTCTGTACAGAATGCTGATGAGATGGCCGACGCGAGGTATATGGTACCTTCCACCCACTGCAAGTGCAACTCAGACTGCTACCTTAAGTCTGAGCTCCTGTACAAGTCGTATTAGAGGTTTTAATAGACAATTTAGGATATTTTTCAAACGTGCTGTTTAAAAGTGAAATGTTTACGTTTTAGATCCTTCTCGATGGTAAGTTCTGTGACAGCCTCATCAAATCGTGTGACAAAATTAAATACTGTGCATGTTGTGAATGTTGAAAAACATTTCTTGTATATGTAGTTAAGGCCACACCAATTTAATTTCTTGGTTAACAGATTCGCCCGCTTCATTTTTTTCTGATTTGCAAATAAAAATAAAAATTCAGAATGTTTACCCCTAACAGTTGAAAACAGTCCTTTTCATCCTAGTTGTTACAGTTATTCCATCTTTCAGTGCAATGGTATCATTAAAAGTTCAAAATTCATTGTTTAAATTTTGAACCAGCCTGGTGTGTTGACTTCATAGCTCCTATCGTACCCTTTTGGGCCATAATAGGATGCCTAGGCCGGTTTTTATTTTTTATTTTTTTCGCCCGCCCGCTCCATTATTTTTCTAGAAAAATCCGTTAACCAAGGAATTAAATTGGTGTGGCCTAGGAGTATTTTACGCAGTCCTAAACATGTTTCCACTGTTTGTATGCATGCAGCATCAGTTGTCCCATAAGTCAACGTGCAGAGATCTTGCCACTAACATTACATGGTTGATGGTATTTTGTGATGTATTAAGTAAGTTAACACAACCCTCTGCAAAGATTACACTACATCAAGCTGCTAAATGATGGGGACTTCATATTTGTTACTTATGATACACAACCTTTAATTTCTTGAAAATCACAAAAACACAACATAAAAAAAAACATACTAGTACTAAAAACTAAACTACAGAAATTATCAGTTCTAAAATGAGTCCAAAAGTTATCCCTGCTACAAGTATGATGATTTCCTTAAAGTTTGATAACTTTCTAATATGCCTTGATTTTGCTCCTTATGAAACGAGATCTATTATGCATGCAGTGGCTTTGTTTCATGTTTTACTTCTAAACAAGAATACCATCATATTGACATAAATCGGTAACAAACCAGAATCTTGTACTATTTGTAACATTACATTTTTGTCCCACATTTTGCTTGAAACTTTATCTACTAGAAACAACATAACACTTTTTGGAAGATTCTATAATTAATGTAACGGCACATTAATAAGGCACAATTTCTACTTGCAGTGATACGAATGAACATTTCAAGTCTTTATGCAAATTAACCTCCTCTTGAAATATTCAAATGCAAGAAATAAGAAAAACTAATATGGGCACACTAAAAAGTTATAGTTATTGAATCAGCATGTTAATCCAATGTTGAAAGTTGAACAATACACACTAACCAGACTGATAACTGGGACAGAAAATTAAAACTTTGCATTAAGCATCACTCTTGATATTTCACTTGGTTTCAATTTTGCCAAACACAACAGCAAGAATGCTAGACCCAGTTTTGCTGAGAAAACATATTCACTCCATATTTTCTCATCTGTCATAATATTATTATGCTGAATCTAGAAAACAGTTGTCACATGCTGCTAAAGTTGCCTTCAAATATACATTTTCTTAAGGCTCGTTCTCATTGAAATGTACAAAATGGTGATTTTTTGGGTCGAAAAATCGATGATCTGTTTTTTCAGGCAAACCTACCTTATTTTTTAGGAAAACATCTCAATTAATGATTAACAAAAAAGGACAGCTTAAATGCCATGGGAAGTTACCGAAAATCTATGCACTTAGATAAGACATATGTAAACAATGCAATTTTAGTGCGGCAAAAACGCTGGAACATCAGCATGAATTGGGTGTACGATAAAGCTTGCATTCATGACATCACCTCAAAAGCCATTAGTTTAGGCGTCAGTATCTATGAAAGTACTTCTGTCAGCCCATTATTAACTGGTAAATATACACATATCGAACACATAAAGATAGCTAAGTGTAGTGTATAGAAGTCGCAAAAAATATCTTTTGAAGCAAAGAAGAGTAGAACATTTGAGTCTGTTGACGCCACAGAGGGTTATTTTTCTTCGGATCCGTATTTTTCCTATTTTATTTCCAACTATTATGTTTATGGTGCATAGGGAAGGGAAATTCGATCTCTTGTTACGTCTTTTGCGCTACAGGTGTAACTTCCGTTACCGGTAACGGATGTTACAAAACGGACGTTTTTGTTTATTTCTCCAAGAAGATCTGCAGTTTTTATCTTCATCCTTTGAGAACAAGGAAGCATAAGTACGGACATTTTAAAACTGGGCGACTTTTTATATACCAGGTGAAGAAACTAAAATTAAAAGTAAAAACAATGGTAACGGATGTTACATTGATTACTGTAAAACAATTTGTTCAGCGAAGGTGGCTACAAATAACAGCACACACTTTTTTTCTTCTTCTCTTAGAAACATAGAAAACTTGCTAAAAGTCATCAAAATGGCAATTTCCTGTCTTATATGTTACTCTATCTAAACTGTACGACCGTCTTACTTGAGCGGTAACGGATGTTACAGAACTTGGCGACAGGTATGAAACACCTCGCACAGCGTACAAAAATAATGACAGAAGCGATCTGACTTGATCAGTCAGAGGGCCTGGCTACCCGACTTCACCAGGCAAAAAACTACTGTCGTTATCAAATTGCTACGTTTTAGGCTGCTTTTTAAAGTTTCTGTTTCGTCTCAGGCGACAGCCGCTTTTTAGGGGGAGAAATCCAATCCGCGACCATAATTTCTCTCAAGTCATCAATCAAACCTGGGTTTGTGGTGCATTTTTCGTGAAACATAGTAAGTGTAGTGGGAAAGTGAAGAAAGCAACGATGAGGTCCATGATTTGGCCCATACCTAGTCGTAAAGAGTGGCGACAGCATTTTGTACATTTGAATGAGAACGAGTGTAAACATTACTTCCTATCAGAGAACTAGTAGTCACCATATCAATTAATAAGACTATGTATCCATAATTATAAACTTGTTGTTTGGAATGTTTTCAAGATTTGCAAAGAAGTCAAAATGCAACATACATATAATTCCATAATTATTTTCATGTAATATTGTTCCTGCAGTTGTATTGATCTTGATTGAAAAGTGCTGTCTCAAAATACATTGTAGAGTAATAATCACTATATAATTCTTTTTATATATCTAGTCCCTTTCATTCCTTTTGGAAAACAGAGTCCAAAAACACTACAAAAACACTATGGACACAGTATACATCATGGAAATGTTCCCTGTGATCCCTATTGAAACCTTCATGTTGTACTTCAAGACGAATCAATACCTGGGTATAACCAAGTAACAGTCTACATGTATCTTTGGTCACATTCAAGTTATTATTCCAATATACAGTGATTACAAAATTGTCAGTAGTTGAGATGTCATAATATATCAAAACTTTCTCACAACTGTACAGAATATTATTGCTAGACATGTTATTGTGCAAGCTATTAGTTCTTAATGATTAGAGCATATTTAGTCTTTGGTCAAGATGTTCTGAAGTACCGGTAAGAATAATTCTACTTTACATTGAAACTTATTAGACTACATGAGTACATATTAGACTATCCGGGAAAAACTGCTCTTAACAGGGGTTGGGTTGGTGCTCTCCCGCCTTCTCTGCTCAAGTTTACACAGCACTGCAATCTGAGAAGACATAAAGCAGATTTATTAGTAACAATAATTATAGATTACCTGGCACTAGTAAAGATGGAGCCTCTATCCATTAAAAAATTCTCACTACCACTGTCGATCCCTGCATTGTAACCCCCTCCCCCCAAGTTTGGGTAGCATGACAATGATAAAAGCAGGGATAAAGGGTTCATCTTACTTTTAAACAGTCTCACACATCAATTAAAAATAGAGTAGCTTCTTTGGTAGTAGTTTCAATAAATTATTCTAGGTCTTGAACAAGTTGTGTGATAATTGTCAGCACTTACTTGTACATGTACCACACTAAGTGTTAGAATATTTCATTTTCTTCCTTGTTGCCCTGCGGTTTGGTGCTGAATGGGTCTTCTTGGCAGTGAATGACTGGAACATGTTCCTCTCGCTTTGTCGGACCTAAAGGAATAACCAAGAACATAGCAACTTTTGTGAAATTCTGGAGTAAGAACACGGTAGCCTATAATTATAAAAGACTCTTATAGTAACAGCAATAATTATAACAGATTCCTAAAGTAACAGCAATCAGAAACGACATACCAAAACGAACAAACTGACATGACCCATATGCCATGTTACCATTTTGGTCACTTGCTTTGGCACTAGCCAACATTACATAGCAAATCTTCATTCTACAATTTAATAAAACATTTTGAATATGGTAACATGTTCTGTCAAGTTCTTTAGTCAAAAGTGCTTTGTCCAAACTTTTTCAACCAAGTAACAAGGACAAAATTGTATAACATTATAGTAAACAATGTTTTAAATGTGATCCATCATAATTTGAGTCACATACAATCCATTCAATGTCAGGTGATAATCTTACCCCAATGGTGTTTGTCATGGCCTGTAAGGCAGCATACACATGTTCCACATTCAGTTGGTCCATGAATGTTGATGAGGCATTGGTTGCAGTTCCCTCACTAGTCTCTGTATGGCCTTCTGTCCAGAGTCCTGTATTCTTCAAGTGATTCACAAGGAGGCTTTCGGGCTTGATCTTCTCAGGTGAGTCTGGCGAGGACATGTAGCGGAAGACAAACTGTCGAGTCACCTTTACAGCACGCTCCAACTCTTCTGTGGCAGCGTTTTCCATCTTGGATTGCACCACAGGCCTTAGAGTCTGCCTGAAGCAGTCACTAAGGGACTCTATGGTGACATCTGCCATCATGTCCTCAAGTGTTTCATACAGGTGCACGACGTGTTTGAGCTGGATGGCACTATGTGGTTCTGGTAGCAGATGGACAGGAAAGGGACTTGTTAGCATGGACAACCATTTCTTTGTATAGTCCACGAGAGGCTCTGAGGGATTCCCTTTTGTCCGTTTTAGCAGGAAAAGTACCACCTCCATATGCTCAAGCAGTGGTTTTGCAATGCGATCACTCTCATTTCTTTCTCGCAGTGCCCTGGCACTGTCAGTTGCAAGTGGTTCTTGGGTCACGTGGCTGGACACGTCAAGAAGAATGCTTGCACTAGCAGAAACAGTTCATTGGCATATGCAAACTTTGGTAAGCCCTGTTCATCATTGATATAGGCCTTGCCCAGCACTAAGTTGTTGGCGAGTTCCATCTCAATCTTGCTGAAGTCGAAGAACAGTTGCCGTCCAAGGCCGTATTCTGTGTTACACTCTGAATGCTTCATGAAGTCATTTGACCATTTGTAGTGGATGACATCTGTCTTCTTAACATCAAGAATGGAGACTTGTGGAATGACACTTGAACGTTGTTCTCGAACCAAGAAGCTTACTGCAGGGCAAGTTGTGGTGGCAGCAAGCTTGGCAACATTGGCGAGGAACTTGTTCTGCAGATTGTACAACACACTGATGGCAGTTTGGAGATGACTGTCAGGAATCTGTAGGTCCAGCAGGCATTGTGTGATGGAACGTTCTTCATGCATTGGTAACATACTGGCAAATCTCCCGTCCACTGTCTTTCCACTGCCATGCAGTTGATTCCATGCCTCCTTGAACTCTTGGAAGGACTTCTTCAAACGTTCCTTTTCCTGCTTTGTCAGTTTACTGTCATAGATGAAATCGCACATCTTCATATCTTTTGCTTTCTCCTTAGCCAGCCTGTGACCCAGTCGTGACTTGACTATTGTTGTCCACTTCAGGAGAGGATGAAGGTGCTTTATGTAAGGAAGCTGTTCATGCATTGAAAAGAACAATCCCAAGAAGGGGTATGCATCTTGCAGATCTCTGCCACCATTCATGAAATGACAGTGCAACTTTTCAAATGTCTTCATCTCTGTTACTCTGAAGAGCCTCAAGGCATGGTCATGATGGTATTGACGACCAACTCCTCTTTCCAGCTCTTCTACTTTGATTTCCAGACACTTGGGGCCTTGCTCAATTTCCATATCTTCAGACAAAGAAGAAACCTGCTGCTCTCGAAGGGATGATGGAATCCTCTGGACTAGTTCATCTACAATAGCAGAGAATTCTTCTTCCCACTTCTCCCTTTCTTCACGAGTCTTACAAGTGTTTCCCCCAACTTTGTGGGATCCATTGAGCAGGCTGCAGCTATGCTGAATGACAGAATGCAGCAGACGGCAAACATCCTCACTTGTACCAGAAATAACATCACCCAGTGCTTTCCAATCAACATCAACAAAGTTTGTGCAAATATCGATGGCATCTTGACCCTTGTCTTGATCCTTGAAGATGAATTCTCCCAGCTGTTCTGGCTTGCAGACCTCAGCATAGTGGCTAGCCAGTAGGCATCCATGAACTAACAGGTGCAAACAACGATATGCTGCAGGGGACATTTGGCGAACGGTGAACCATCTTTCTCCTCTATCTTCAGGGCTAGCAACAACATACCCTGTCTGCTGGGTTACAGTAATTCCAGAGCTGACATTTTGGACATAGGAGTTACCAGGCTCGCTTCCATCAAGGTGATTTGTGGGAACAGATGGAGACTGGCAAACAGGACACACTGTTTGTTGTTCATGAGATGTTGGAGCAAGTCTTTGCTGGGCAACAAGACATCCACAGGAACAACACCATACAGTAGCGTTTTGATCCCACATCTGTTGGCTTGTGGCTGTATACACTTCAGGTGGGTCATCACCATTGTTATCAATAGCTAGTACGTAAGGTGCATTTAACTTCTCTGGATTAGTCAAATACTGCTGGAAGGGTGACTGTATCTTCATATTTTGTGCCAGGCTGGAGCTTAGGACACAGAGCAGGTGCATGATAACTGATTTCTTCAGGATGTCATCCAAGCTGGACTGCTCTGAGACACACAGCTTGGAGTCTTGCTCTCCTACAGTGCACAACAGGGTCTGTTGGAATGGCCGTGGAAAGTTAGAAATCATCTTTGCCATTGTCTGGGCGGCAGCTTTCTCAGTGTCACGGGCTGGCCGCACTGTGCGTACTAGGAAGTACAGGTCATAAAGTGTTGCCAAGAGTGAGAATTTGGTTTCTTCACATCCCTTTGCCTTTTGTATCAGTGCATTCATTGCTTCATCTTCTTTCTCCTTCAGGAGTGCTATAGCCTTCATTGCATCTTCATAGCCTGTGGCATACCTCAGTGGACCAAAGGAAAACCTTGACTCCAATTCATCCTTTTCCCATTCTAGTTCTTGCAAGGCAGGCAACATTGGGCCAAGGTCTTTGCTCAGGTCACGCAATCCCAGCAACCCATGGTCTGGTCGAAGCTGTTTCAGAAAGAACAAGACCATAGAAACCTTTCTCGATAGAGTTGGCTCCTCCTTTGGTGATGGAGTGAACAGTTGGGTGTTAACTTCCTGTAGCAGGTGTTCTGACATTTGCAGCTCCTCTCCTTCGTTTTGTGTATCCAACATTTCCTGTAAGGCTTTAGCCATTTCTGTTAGGAAAACTCTGATGAATGCAACAGAACAGATAAACTGCAAGTCACAAGTAGTGGATTCCCTTATGACCCTTGCAGCCTTGACCAGAGCTACGTGTAGGGGGTTGTCGGGCTCTCCAAGTTCCACTAAATGTTGGGCAATAGAGGAGAAAAATCTGTCCTGGATGATGTCACTGCAAAGTGTAGCAAGGTGTGAGTCAAACCCTGAAGTTATTTGCAATGAATGCAGGCAGTTGTTCAAGGACTGCAGGGGTGGATGTTCTTCCAATGCAAGGTCCTGGTCCTCAATAATATCTTGGAACAGACCTAGATGTCCATGATAGTTTGACTGTGTCTGATGGCTCTCCTGCTCAAAACAGAGAATACGATCCAGAACTGGACCAGCATATCTGATGGAACCCGTAGGTAGCTTGCTTAACTCATCCAGAATGCTGTCAATAAGAATGGTGTCTGGGTTTGCATCCAAGCACCGCCCAAAGAGCAGGCAGAGGAACTGTTGCATTCGTTCTGGAGACATCTTTCCACTACTCAGTAGCTTCCTTGCTGTCTCAACAACTAGGGAGAACACCAGTGGTGAGTTCATGCAGTTGTCTCCCTGACTTTTTGCTGTTTGTGCGAGGTTGTTCAAGACTGAGACTTCTCCTGATGCGAGGTTTAGTGCTGTGGCATAGTCATTACAAAGCCTTAGGAAATGGAACATTGGTGTGTCTCTGTTCACTTTTGCAGCAAGGGACAGCAGCGTAGTGACCTTTGCATGCCATGCCTTAAGACCACCACAAGAGTCAATGAGAGACTCCTCAGGTAGCATGGCTGTGCAGTACACCTCCACAAGACGCTCTGATATT